AGACTGTAGTAGTAGTCTGCTGGAAGATAGGGCCCTTTTTGATCAGGAACAGTGGTCCATCTTGTGTAGCACACGGGGTTTGGACATCCAACCAGTAAATCTATGCAGATTGTATAGGGGCACTGCTGCACCTGAAGGCAAACCATCCTCACTGAGGGTAACATTGGGCTCTGCCGAGGATGTTGAAAAAGTGTTACTGGCTTCTCAAGTCCTTTCTATAGGGAGGGCCTGCAACATACGTGTTAAGCCAGACAGGCCGTGAAAGGAAAGACAGATGGCGAGGGAGTCGCCAGAGCTTATAACTTCTGCCTCCATGGTTGTTCATGGCATTCCCGAACTGGTAACTGGGAACGCCTGAGAAAAGCATTGTCATGATGTACGGCAATGGAGGTGGCTGGCATCCCACATGGCCCTGGGGAGTTCAGGGGCTGTCCCTATTTATAGACTGCCTCGACCCACTCACCTTATGTCAATTAACACGCCACGTCTGTTAGCTGTCAAGTTCAGCTCCTAAGACCAGTTGACTACAGCTCTTCATAGATGGTACGAGACCAAGGACAAGGTCAGCAAACACATTCACTGCTGCGAGAGCCGGCCTCGCACCCAAAGGAGAGAACAAAGCGTAGTTAAAAAAATCCTCAACCCCTAGTCACACCACAGTGGTGCAGCACGGACGATGATAGCCAGTGTCATCCGAGTGCTTCGACTGAACTAGAAGAAAAAAACGCCAACAGGCCGGTTTCTGGGGAATCGGCCAACTAGTTCGTAGGATAACTCCTCAACCGATAGCCAATATCAAGTCAACTACTCCCCAATACGGGGAAGTGGTGAGACTGACTACCAGTTGCCTGTACAGTAATGTGAGAGGGCTAAGAGGCAAAATAGCTGAACTTAGACACTAACAATCACAACTGAACTCCAAAATCATATTACTGACGGAAACCTGGCTAACCCTTACGGTGGCAGACAGCAAAGTCAGTATAAATGATATGGTCCTAGTCAGGCGAGATAGGGACCTGAAAGAAGGAGGCGGAGTCGCCATATACGTCGACAAACAGCTCAGATGTGTTCACGCGATGGACCCTACCCTCACTGAGCTCCCTGACTCCATATGGTGCCACTTCACCGTTGGGTACTGCAAATATCTAGTGGGCAGCATTTATCGATCACCTTCATGTGGAGCAGACCACAACCAGGTACTGCTAAATACAATCTCAGCAACTCAAGACATGGGTTGTGATCAAATTGTCATAGCTGGCGACTTCAATGCCCCATCTCTTAACTTGGTGTCGGGAAAAGCCCATGATAGATTTGATCGAAATCTACTGCATACCATCAGGAAGGCTGGATTTACTGAAAATGTCAGGATGGATACTAGATGGGGCCCTGATGGGAAGTCTTCGAGACTGGATTATATGCTCACTAGTGACCAGCTACTAGTGGAAAACGTTCAGATCACGACTTTCATAGGTAGTAGTGACCACGCGGTCATAGTATTCGACATAGTCCTCCGCGAGCGCTTGCAGTGGGACAATACACAGCCCTATCTGTGTTATAACAAAGCCAATTACACCAAAATGCGAAGACTTCTGTCTGAAGCAAATTGGCCTAAAAAATGGACAGAGCTAACAGTAGAAGAACACTGGAGAGTGGTAAAGGAGATCATTCACCAGGCGGTCTCAGACACTGTTCCTTTAGTCACACCAAAAGCTAGGAAGTAACGTTCATGGCTAACAAGGGGGACACAACGCCTTCTGCGGGCGAAGCAAAACGCCTGGTTTGCGTGGCGACGATCGAACAGTCAACCCGAACATGAAGTGTACCTTGAACTCAGAAATCGATGTAACATACGAGTCCGGAGCGATAGAAGGACATTTCAGGGAAACCTCGCCAATAAGCTTCTCGTGAACCCCAAAAGCCTATACAGGTTTATGTGTGAAAGAAAACCGACTAACCAGAGAGCATGCGATCTAGTGGGCTCTGATGGGAAATCTCTTACTAGTCTTGAAATAGCAGAGACATTCAGCCTAGCCTTTCACAGGCAACTAAACAGTAGCGAGGATATTATACCCACAGAACATCAAGATAACATTGCTAAACCAACGCGCGAAAACCTGCTGGGTACATTTCAAATTACTCCGGTATGGTACATGTAAAATTGGGAAAGTTTGCTTCGGGAAAGTCTTCAGGCTGTAATGACATCAGACCATCCGTCCTGAAGCAGTGTTCAGAAAGTCTCTGCCAACACCTAAGTGACCTGTTCCAACAATCACTTGATGTAGGGAAACTTCCATCTGAATGTGATATGCATAAATATATATATATATATTTATGTGTGTGTGTATGTTGGTCTCTCTTTCTATGTACTCTCTTAGTCTGTGACCATTTCACTTGTATGAACTTGTCTCCTTTTACAAATGTATATTCTCCTTATATTATATTATATATAATATGAGTGTTTGTTGACAGTCCGTTGCTTGGTGACATATATCCATATATGGTGGTTGTTGACATGTCTGCTATATTTCTCTATGTATATATGGATCGATACTTCATTATAATTAGCCATTCATGTCAAGACTGTCTAGTGATTTGTTCACACGCTTTGTCTGGAACATTCATATATATTTCGCATTCACAATTTGTGTGACTTTTACTTCTTTACTTACTTACTGTGGTGTGATACCACTCTTTGCATTTTCCTTGTGTTTGGAAAATAGAAGTATCATCGCAAACCTAGTGGTCTTCTGATTTCCGCCTTCTTACGTCAGGACTATTAAATTCTCGACCAGTACATAGCAATAATTTAGCGACGAGTGCATAACAATTTGGCGACGGGGAAAACTACTATTAACCACTCAGCAGCAGCAACATAACAATTTACTATGGATCCTTCTAAATTGGAATTATTGTTTGAACGACAAATGAAATTGATGGAAATGTTCGTCAACCAACAGACTGGTCCAGCTTCACCTTCAAGCAATCCCAATCATACCATGCTAACATCTGTCGACAGAATTGTGAACAGTATTTCACAGTTCAACTTTGACCCAGATGCTAATGTCACTTTTGACACATGGTATCAGCGTTATGAGGACTTATTCACTGTTGATCTCGCCTCACAAGACGATGCCTGGAAGGTGCGAGTGTTGTTACGTAAATTGGGTCCGGCAGAATATGAACGGTACTGCAACCTAATTTTACCCCAGAAACCACGTGACAAGTGTTTCGATGATACAATAAAGCTGCTGCGTGAACATTCTGGAGACCACTCCTCATTATTCAGCACACGTTATCGTTGCCTCAAGCTGACAATGAATGAAAATGATGATTTTCTTACTCACGTTGGCACAGTCAACCGAGAATGTGAGAGATTTCGACTCAGGTCCTTAACAGATGATCAATTCAAAGCCTTGATTCTCATATGCAGTCTTCAATCTCCTCGTTTCACAGATATCCGAACTCGACTGCTCAATCAGCTAGAACAAAATCCTAAGTTAACATTACATGACATAGCTGATGAATATCAACGGCTGATTAATCTGCAGAAAGACATACACCTGGTCGAATCAACACCTTCCAGAAGCTCTGATATTCATGCATTACGAAAGAGCAAAAATCTCTCATCATCTACTCCTGACCCACCTACTTTCTCTAATGTTCCACGGAAATCTACACATACTCGTCCAACTTCACAAAATACTGCAAAGAGGACCCCACCATCATCATGCTGGCACTGTGGTGCGTGGCACTTTGTAAAGTCTTGTCCGTACAAAAATCATCGTTGCAGCATGTGCAACATCGTCGGTCATAAAAATGGTTTTTGTCGGCCACGCAAACCCAGATGTCAAAATCCAGCAAAAGCTCGACAAACGGTTGGTCCTAAATCTCCAAGGAGATCATTGAGTCTACTCGCAACCTGTCAAGTCATAACTCCGTGTATGCGGAAATATCTTGACCTTCAGATGAATGGTCATGATGCACGTCTGCAGCTAGATACCGCCTCTGATATTACTGTTATATCAGAGAAAATTTGGAATAATATTGGCAGACCACCTATCACCAATACTTCCCAGTCTCTTGTCAGCGCCTGTGGTGGGCGGCTCAAACTTATTGGCGAACTCAAATGTTCCGTTTCCTTCCGCAATACCAAATTCACAGGAATTCGCTACGTCACCAAGAGTGATTTAGATCTTTTGGGACTTGATTGGTTCGATCGTTTGCACCTGGCTGATGTCCCACTAAATTCGCTATGCAATGCAGTCAAGAAGCATAAATTGTCAGACAATTCCGGACGAAGCCGAAGCCGTAAACCCAACACGCAGACGAAACGACAGACGTCAACAACAAGCCCAAAGGTTCCAGATAAACCCCCAGGTAAACATCCTACTAATCATCAATCTTCTCAAAAGGGGAGGTGATATGTATCCACATATATATATTTATGTGTGTGTGTGTATGTTGGTCTCTCTTTCTATGTACTCTCTTAGTCTGTGACCATTTCACTTGTATGAACTTGTCTCCTTTTACAAATGTATATTCTCCTTATATTATATTATATATAATATGAGTGTTTGTTGACAGTCCGTTGCTTGGTGACATATATCCATATATGGTGGTTGTTGACATGTCTGCTATATTTCTCTATGTATATATGGATCGATACTTCATTATAATTAGCCATTCATGTCAAGACTGTCTAGTGATTTGTTCACACGCTTTGTCTGGAACATTCATATATATTTCGCATTCACAATTTGTGTGACTTTTACTTCTTTACTTACTTACTGTGGTGTGATACCACTCTTTGCATTTTCCTTGTGTTTGGAAAATAGAAGTATCATCGCAAACCTAGTGGTCTTCTGATTTCCGCCTTCTTACGTCAGGACTATTAAATTCTCGACCAGTACATAGCAATAATTTAGCGACGAGTGCATAACAATTTGGCGACGGGGAAAACTACTATTAACCACTCAGCAGCAGCAACATAACAATTTACTATGGATCCTTCTAAATTGGAATTATTGTTTGAACGACAAATGAAATTGATGGAAATGTTCGTCAACCAACAGACTGGTCCAGCTTCACCTTCAAGCAATCCCAATCATACCATGCTAACATCTGTCGACAGAATTGTGAACAGTATTTCACAGTTCAACTTTGACCCAGATGCTAATGTCACTTTTGACACATGGTATCAGCGTTATGAGGACTTATTCACTGTTGATCTCGCCTCACAAGACGATGCCTGGAAGGTGCGAGTGTTGTTACGTAAATTGGGTCCGGCAGAATATGAACGGTACTGCAACCTAATTTTACCCCAGAAACCACGTGACAAGTGTTTCGATGATACAATAAAGCTGCTGCGTGAACATTCTGGAGACCACTCCTCATTATTCAGCACACGTTATCGTTGCCTCAAGCTGACAATGAATGAAAATGATGATTTTCTTACTCACGTTGGCACAGTCAACCGAGAATGTGAGAGATTTCGACTCAGGTCCTTAACAGATGATCAATTCAAAGCCTTGATTCTCATATGCAGTCTTCAATCTCCTCGTTTCACAGATATCCGAACTCGACTGCTCAATCAGCTAGAACAAAATCCTAAGTTAACATTACATGACATAGCTGATGAATATCAACGGCTGATTAATCTGCAGAAAGACATACACCTGGTCGAATCAACACCTTCCAGAAGCTCTGATATTCATGCATTACGAAAGAGCAAAAATCTCTCATCATCTACTCCTGACCCACCTACTTTCTCTAATGTTCCACGGAAATCTACACATACTCGTCCAACTTCACAAAATACTGCAAAGAGGACCCCACCATCTGTATCGCGGTTCGTTCAACGTTTGCGTTACATTTTTACGTGATTCGTTACATAAAATTTATCTTGTTGTAGTACTTGCACAAGTACTATACCACTTCCATACTTGTAACCACTAACTCTTATTTCTAATAGTTATGGTTAATCAAAGTAAAAAGCAGCGAACCCAATCCCCTGTAAAACTGGTGTCTAATTTAACGTCCTTGATTGCTACATCAAGCAACACACCCCCAACAAACGGCTATAGTGAGTCACATAACTCACGTGTATGCCGTAAGCGTCGAGCTGAAACTGAGGATAAAACTGTACTGACAGCCAGTATTAGCACTACTCCTAAAAATTCGGTACCCTCTGCTCATACAGAACTCCTCCCTTCACCTTATGTGCTTATGGAGAAACTCCAGCCATCAAGCTCTTTTTCAGTACTATCTTCAGAAATAGAACTTCTAAAGTTGTCTATAGGAGAACTTAAGGCTGAGTTAAGGGAAATAAAAAACAGCAAGTCAGTAAATGCTGGAAACATCGAAACCAATACCGAGATATGCAAATTATCAGATCAGATCAGCGATATCAGATCGCAGGTCTGTGGACTGACACCTCTAACTATCCTCATGAAAACGGTAAACCTTAACAAGCTTGACACAGAATCGGTAACTAAGGTAGATAACCTCATTAACTTTGTTACCACAGAAGTAACAAAACGACTCGACGCAAAACTCAGTGCTATTGTCTACAACGTTCCGGACAATGAGGCAATAAAAAAGGTACAGCGCATCTTACTTAGTGAAGCGAAAATGCCTAACTCCAAGACTAAGTGCTACAGGCTGAAGAAGAGTCAACATGAAAAGTGCTGTCCTATTCGATTTCAGTTCGAAACACCGGCAGAGACCAGAAAATTCATTCACTCCCAACACACCCTATCGCAAGCCAGAAACTACAAACATATAAAGGTCGGGGTGGACAAAACAGTTATAGAAAGGCGCGCACACAACTATCTCACTAAGACTAATTGTGAAATAGGTAATAGGACATTGCAGCAAGCCATTATCCCCAACCCTGTGAAAGATACAGTAGACCCCACCGCATCACCCCTCTCAAAACACACAGAAATGTCCCATCAGAGTGCAACACCAGCCGAAAGGCCACTAGACTGTAACCAAATAAATAATAAAACCATACCACCCATCACCGCAGAATCTAAAATGCCACTAAATAACCCCAGAAAAAAAGTTAAAAAAAAAAACCCCTCGACTTTGTCCTCTCCTAGCTATAATTCCATTGGTAAAGATAAGGAAAATATGCCCCTAAATCATACCAACAAAAACAGTGGCAGCTTAAATAAGCCCACACTCCCCACGGTTAATAGTATTAGCACTCACAACGTGCTAAATCGCACCGTGGCACACACTAATATCCAATGTCACAACGATGTCACCCTAAATAGTACAAGCGGTAACAGTCAGAACTCGGCTACCAACAACTCAGGGTCTTCAGAGTATGGCACACAAACAAATTTCGACCGGATGTATGGTACAAGTCTGCTGGGAACTAACCCAAAATGCAGTACACACGAAACCCACACAAGGACACAACTAGCATCAAACAATAGGTGGAATAATAAGCCATGGTCATCACAAGGATCCAATCATTTTTTATCCCCCGCGTCCCTGTCAGCGTTGAAAAAACAGCTGGTAGGGATGTTAACACTCCTAAACCACTAGTGCTGGCTCCCTCCTTGCATGAAAACAGGAACGGTCTAGTGCACCCGTATCCATTGGACACACTTGACACTTGCACAAGTATAGGCCAAATAAAGAACCCTACCCACTTCTGTAACCTAACTAAAAATAAAAGTTCCTTAGTCTATAGCAAATCCAGTACTCCAACTCCTAATTCTCCACCGAAAACAGCACACAACAACTCGATAGACATAGGTGAGCATGATGCTGGAACTCCTCTTAACATAGGATCGTCATGTCCAGCAGAACTACTGGGTGCTGAACCATATTCGGGGCTGACTAACGAACTTAAATACTTCAAATGCTACTTCAACTCTCATCTTTACGTAATCCTCATAAATGCTAGATCTGTTCTAAATAAATTGCCGATGCTCAGAGCACTCACAGTAATATACAAACCCCCTGTAATTGTCATCACTGAAACTTGGTGTCATTCGGACATCCTGGATGATGAAATAAGCTTAGATAACTACACACACTTTCGGTGTGACAGGGAAGGTGGTAAGGGAGGGGGTTGTCTCATGTACTTCTTGAATGAACTTACTGTATCACAGCTAGAAAGTAGTACACTTAACATGCCTGAGACTCTATGGGTTAATGTACACTTAAATAACGTAACAGCACTAATTGGATGCTCCTACAGAGCACCTGGCACCTTTAGTAACTACGAGACCCAACTCATTAATACTCTGGAGCAATTAACCGACTTACAATACGATCATAAGATCCTATGTGGGGACTTTAACTTACCTGAAATCAACTGGGATATACCCACAGGTCCAACTAAATTTGACAAGTTCTTAGACACACTGGATATACTTGGCTGGAAACAAACTGTCACTACTCCCACAAGAGGTAACAACGTACTAGACTTAATCTTCTGCCACAATATAAGCCCCCTTTCAACGCTAGTAGGTTCTGAGTTCCCAGGGAGCGACCACAAAACAGTAATGTGTGCACTGCCAATTCCGCTGAGTAGCAATGCATCTCATACCTCCACTTCACAACAAGTAATATATAGGAACTATAGTAAGGCAAACTGGGCCTTAGTTGAATCGATGCTAAGATCCTCCAAATGGGATGAATACTTCACTACTGATGACCTATCGAGAGCCCTAACCATCTTCTACCATAACTCAAACATATGCTTAGATGCTGTCATTCCACTCCAAACACTAAAGGTTTCCCCACACAGAAAGTCATACATAAAACCAAAGGATCGTAAGAAACTGAAGAAACTCTCAACAAGTTACTTCAAACACCACGACTTTGGCACTCTAGGTCTAATACTTAAAACCCTTAGCTCCATCACACAAGCTCAAGATTTCCGTATGAGAAAGGAAGAACGCATCGCAGTAGCCAGTCCTGCTAGAGCGTATGCACTCACAGAAATCTTAAGGAAGCGAATGAATCGCAAAAATCACAGCATTCCTCTCCTCATAGACAAAGGCAGGCTATGCACTAACTCTGCAGACATATGTGAACTATTCAACAAAACGTTTGCAGGTAACTACCTTAAGCCCTCAGTCCAGCTACTCGATATACACCCTATTACTAAAATGGCACCAACTCCACTGACACCAAACCAAATTAGCACTGTTCAATTCACTTACGCTGACATTAACCAAACTATAAGAACCCTCAAAAGTTCAAAAGGTTTCGGTACCGACGGTATATCATCTTACTTCTATAAATATGGTGGCCCTGACATTCCTCTACTACTGCTTAAAATATTCACAATGTCCCTAGAAACCCAAACTTACCCTGACATATGGAAGACTACATTCATTATGCCTAAACACAAATCTGGCTCGAAAACTGAAGTCAGTAACTACCGGCCAATCAATATCACACCTATAGCATCTAGAATCATGGAGAGACTAGTCAAAAATAACCTAATCAAACACATGCTTAGCTGCAACATCATAAGTCCGAACCAACATGGATTCCTGAAATCCAGATCATGTTTAACATGTCACCTAGACTTCTTCAATTTTGTAACCAGCAGTCGTGACAGACGGCAACTAGTACTTGTCATCTACTTTGACATTTCTAAGGCATTTGACCGTGTTGACCATTTACTGCTAACAAATAAACTGAACTCCTTAGGAATACGTGACCCATTATTAGGATGGCTTAAATCATTCCTTAACAATAGGTCCCAAATAGTTAAACTCGGGTCTGCAACCTCCAAACCTAGCCCTATCACTTCTGGTGTAGTACAAGGTAGTGTCATTGGACCCCTCCTATTTACACTATACATCAATGACATATGCGCTTGCTTCACGCACGGGAAACCATTCATCTTTGCAGATGACCTAAAAGTAGCTTATACATTCCAACGTGATGACTTAGGGAACTTCGAGAATGTAGTACAGAAGGAATTAGATAAAATGGCTGCTTGGTCGTCCCTATGGAATCTCCAATTTAATCTGAACAAATGTGGCTGGATCTGCTTCGGTGCACCCTCAATCGACCTGAAATTAACGCTCCAATCTGCTAACCTAACAAGACTCCGAAATGTCGTTGACCTAGGCCTGAGGTACTCTAGTGACTTGACATTCTCAGAGCAAGTAGCATCACAGACTAGAAAATCGAGGATGCTCTTAGGATGCATACTCAGGAACTTTCACGACAATGAAGCCAAGCTAATTCTGTACAAAACATGTGTCAGACCACTACTAGAATACTGTCCATTTATTATAAGCAGCACTCGCACACGTGACAAGCTAAGGATGGAAAGTATCCAACGATATTTTACCTCAAAACTGCTTGGCTACGATTGTAAGGAAGACTACATCTCACGGTGCATGATCCTAAAACTCGACCCACTTTGGACAAGGCGACTTATTATAAACCTAATATTCTTCTTTAAGGTCCTTCACAAAATATCTTTCTCAGGTAACAGGGACATACAATTCGCACAGGAAGGTTCTTACGATCTGCGTAACCAAACTTCCACAGTGACAACTCATTCTTTTAAGTCAACACTCCGTGAAAACTTCTTCACAGTCATGTATTCTAAAATATGGAATAGCCTACCCCTAGATATCAGAACTTGCTCTTCGGTTACAAGCTTCAAACGCTCTCTATACAGACTGTTGCACTCTACAGATTATATTAATAAACTATTTACTCCTAGAACGAATCAAGCACTAATCTACTACAGCACCTAAAAGACGCACTTCAACACCCTTAGCAATCTTTAAACTATAAATAAACTAGCAGCATGGATGCATAAAGACATAGTACGGAACATACAGGATTAGTCTACCCTTAGAAATAGGACCTATCCCTCATTGTAACCTTCAAACGCTTGCTATGTAAACTGTTTTATTCTAAAGACTATCCCTACCAGAACCCATTACTTATTTCTAAAACGCATCAGTCATTAGAACAATAAAAACGCTCAGACTATTAATACACATTATGACATTAAATAAACTCTAAGACTTCGCATAAATACGTGAAAACGCAGATACAATATAGAAAAATGTTTACTTAAGTATAATTAAGATAAACATTTATAAATGAATCATGTATTAATGTTCTTTTCATGTTCACATACTTTCTCTTTCTGGTATTTTGCTGCTCCTATTCATCTTCTGGTCGAGGTCGAACAACCCTGCATCTAAACTGAAATGAGGATTAATTCCAAACCGTCTATCTCATAACCACTCAAATTCCATGAACGATCCAATTCTACCATTTGAAGACGCTGGCGAACATGCTGTAAATGAGTATTCATGATCTGAAATGAAGAAGCAACTGGTTTTCAAACAGTTTTCAACGTTTTACTCAACTTACGAATACAGTCCGCCATGCAGACACAAATGGAGCAAATGGAGAATTCTGGAATCGACCTCGGCACCATTTGATGCAGTAAAACAACCCAACATGACCTTATCTAGTTTTCGTATCCACGATCAAATTTCTTTCCTGTTATGAAACTACGATAAGAGTGCTGAAAAAATGGAATAAATATATCACTGATCTCAACATAATACATCAATAATCTTTAAGCCATGGGTGCTGCTCACAACAAAGTTATATAAGAGAATTGACTTCAAGCTTTATTTTTCCCAGATATCTGTATTACATTCATCTGATGTCTGGGTTTTTTGTTAATGCGAAGACAATATTTCTATATCTCTTTATGTGCTACACAAACAGACTTTATAGCAGACTGTTCCTACTGACTCTAATGTCAGAAAGAACAACCAAACTGTAAATTCATTATACATTAAATTGTGTGTAATTTATATAATAACTTATCCATGCCTGTACAATTGGTATGTTCCTGCATAAACAGGAAGAAATATATATATATATATATCATCATGCTGGCACTGTGGTGCGTGGCACTTTGTAAAGTCTTGTCCGTACAAAAATCATCGTTGCAGCATGTGCAACATCGTCGGTCATAAAAATGGTTTTTGTCGGCCACGCAAACCCAGATGTCAAAATCCAGCAA